TTCACCAGTAATCACCTATTATTGTATTTACATAAGTACTTTGTAGGGTTGGTTCTCGCCAAGCCGTCCCAAAATAAACTTATTTGCCATTACGTTTTGTCTGTTGATGTTGTGTAGTGGAGTCAAAATAGATGATTTCTATTGCGGCTTCAGTTGTCTACATAAGCTTACATATAAAAAGCCGTTAGTCTTCCCTTTTTAACCTCAAGAAGAGGACAAGAGCTTGGGAGATGTATCACTGCAACATGAAAATGGCATCTCCGGGAGATTTAGTTAGAGCCTTTGAATCTGTTTGCAACGAATTAGTTTTAAAATAAATAAATCCCGAAAGTAGCCTGCGTAGCTGGCGGGATGACTTTCTTTGCGAATTTCCGATGATTCTTGGAGAAAATGCCTTGATGTACTGGCCCTAAGTCCCCGTTTAAGAGCAGGGTACTGGTTCACATTGAAGCCGGATCCTTGGGAGCGCCAGAATGGCTTCCACGTTTTCCAAGCTTAAGCTTTCTAAAGGTTTTATCTAAAATACCACGTAACTCGTGTAGCCTGTTGGATTTTGCTGTTAGGGATATACATAATTATTGTATGGAACACAGTATGAGGCTCAACCCCAAAAAATGTTAGTAGATGGCCGTGAAGTTTATGGGAAATACGAACACTATAATGAGACCCCTGTATGATAGGAAACCAAATAGTAGCAAGAATTTTCATAATACAAATTGCTTGGAGTAATCACTGATTAATGAGAACTTGAAATGGAACTGCCCTGTTGACTATATTACCGCTAGCTAAGGCATCAAAGAAACTTTACGCTCTCAGACTATTCAAGAGAGCCGGCGCGCAAGGCAAGACATGCTGAAAGTCTTTACAAGTAGTGTTCGACCGATTTTAGAATATGCCGTGCAGGTGTGACAGATAGAATAGCGGGGGGGAGTCCGTGCAAAAAAAACACTTAAAATAATATATCCTAACACTTCGTATAGTCAGGCACTGTCGCTAGCCAACGAAAAGGTTACACTTTCCAATAGACGCGAGCTCCTACTTCATAAATTTGTGGCTGAGATGACAGACACCCGTGACCACCCATTATCGATCGTTATCGTGCTTGATGTCCACCGCTGTACAAAGAACTAATCCTTATAACCTTAGACCTGGTTCTTCTCGACCATTCAATACGTTCGTGAGGAACTAAGAGATCAGAGAACTTTTTTACTATTAAATATTCGTCATTTAAGAATCCGTCATAATTATCATTTTAAGTAGTATAATTGATACATAGCTGTAATCTAGCATTATTGTTAGTTCAGTATATATAACCGCTTGCCGCTTGTTAATGCAGTTATCTGAAAGAGAGTGGAATAAACGATATGTAACGATATGTACTCATGATTGGGTTCATAAAATACAGCTAAAAGGAAATCCTGAACTGTTAGTAATTTTCCTGAAAAAAAAAATCTTTAGCTTTAATACTCCCTGTGCGGGCTGTACCAGGCCATACGTCAGGTCCCGGGGGGAGGGGTGTACTCCCTATGATGGTCTATACCCCAGGGGGGTACTCGGGATTTCAAGTGACGGGGATGATCGAATGGAGAGAAAAGTCAAGACCTAAAAAAATCCCTAGGGCTTCCAGCAAAACCCCAAAAAATCCCATGCCTAACACGTGCGATGTAAAGCGACACCACAGTTAACTATTAAACAACAGCAAAACACATTTATTTGTACTTTATTCGCAGAACTAAAAAAAAAAAACCCTACTCAAATCAAGCTACCAAAAAAAATACTTGCCAAATTTTCGTACCCAAAAAAATCCCGGAATCGAAAATTTCAAACCCCAAAAAATCCTTTGATCATCCCCGTCACTTGAAATCCCGAGTACCCCCCCTGGGGTCTATACGAGGATGCTCCGGCCGAAAGGGGTATCTTTTTCAGGCTTCAGGTATATGAAAGGGTAGGGAATCACTAGTTGAAGTATATAAGAGGGTAAGGAAATCTATCATTTGGCTCTGTTAGAGGGCTAAAAGATGAATTTTACGGCTTTATAAAGTCGAGAAAACGTTCTATTTTTGTGATTTATTCCTAGGCGGTGGCGGAGGCGGAGCCTCCCCGTATAAACATTTGATGAGTACCCACCCCCC